TTAACAAACATTTATAACATAAAAATAAATTTAATTTGATAGTTTGTTTGATTAAAATTTATTTTAATATATTAAATTTGATAATTAATACTAATTAAATAATAAGACCTTTAATGTTTAATGTTTCCTTCCTTTTGGAGGGTATTTTAACATTAATTTTCATTGTCTTTAATACACATTAAAACATTCAATAATCCTTTTATGTGGTGCTTTATTACTTTTAGGAGAGCACACACATATTTAATTAAGGGATTTTAATAAAATTTAATAACCAATTAAGGGTTTTATATATTATACTAGCCTCCAATTGTGGAAAGCATTGTGCATTGGATTTATAACCCTTAATCAATCATTAATAAATCTTTAACCCTATATAATATGCTTAACTCCACTTGGAGAGCATGTATATTAGATTAAATGGTCCCTCTTTTTATCCTTAACAAATGAACAACTCATCTTTAAAGGCTTTATGTGGTTATCTATCATATATGGTTGATGTTTGTATTACAATTGTAAGACATAAAATCTATAAATTAATTATTCCCACACTTATAGTCATTAATTTACAAAATCTTCAAAATTAAATAATCAATTCCAATGCTCAAAATGAAAATAATAAAATCCAAATTCATACAAGGTAAACTTTAATTAAATAACCCCTTTTGACCTTAATGAACAAATACCTTAAATGCAAGAAACTTAAACATTAAATTCCTATAGGATATACCAAAACCACATGGCCTCCTTCACACGCCTAGATGGTTTTCTAAGACAACCAACGTTAGCTTAGGCTAAGTTGGTGGTGTGAATTTCTTGTTGGGTACTTTACTTGGAGAGCATCTAATGTTTGTTTATTTATTTTCAGCACTTTGAATATCATATATACATTTCTGTTGGTGCACTTAGGCTATTAAGGATTGCATTAGAAGAATTAGGTGATTAAACCACTTCTTATGCACTTTATATATTTCTTATGCATGCTATTATTTCCTACAAAAGTCAAAGTAGAACGAACATAAGAATGATGCATTTGTTTAAGTTCTTGTAAAGATGTAGATTTTATATAGATCAAGTTGCATAGTATCTTGATTTGTAAAAGATTTAATGATATCTTCTAATACATACAAATGGGGCTCGACATGGCAATATCCTCTCCCTTGAAGGATACTCACTTTTGGAATTTCATAGAAGATTAGGAGCTTAAAAACATGAAGCAGATGAATTTGATTCTATACTTGGGCTCCGAAAATTCGCTTCTCGACCTCCCCTATGTAGGAGGGTTTTAATGATGTTTCGGGTAAAATTTTTAAAAGGAAGATTAACTTTGGTTTAAAGCACTACATCGAGATTTCACCCTCATTTTATGAGGACATAATAATATGGTTCTAGGTTTCCCATAGGCGCAAAGACCTATGGTTAATTACCCCTTCCGATGATGAGAGAGCACTTTCGATAAAGGCTAGTCGTTAAATACGTACAAAATACCTAGCATATAGTAGCATCAAGTGATTTTTTTTTTTTTGGATTATAACATTTATTATATTTATACTTAAAGCGGATGGTGGGGGGATGATGATGAACCCGATCAAGATCCCATAGTTTTGTCATCCCGAGCCATCATGGTCCTTAGCCTACTTAGTTAGAAGAGGTAGTCAACCCAACCTGACCGAAGGATCCTTATCAGTAGCCATGGGTTACTTCATCCAAGGGTACCTTATAGACTTGGGGTGGATTCTTGTTTAAGGAAATAATTTGTATTCAACCTTAGCTAATAGAAAGCTTTATACCTTATTGAGTGCACCCTATGATTCATTACTCAAGGGGCTTTTAACCATTGAAGAATATATGTGCTTTGATCGTAACCATGATATAGTGGTACTATTTTTATTAAAACCACTCGATTAAAGGGCACATGCCACATCCCCACTAATAAAAAATCATTTGAGAATGAATTGCAGTGATGCATTCAATTAGATATTTTTTCTTTGTAAACTAATGTTATTCTTATTTTTTCATTTTTAACAAACATTTACGAATGATGGATGGATTTTTGCTTAAATTTTAAATAATAAATTTTATTTGAATTTTTTAATATTGTAAAATTTGGATTTTATATTTTTATCAAAATTTCATTCCAAACATGATTTATTTTGAAATTTGAATGCATTTTAAATGTTTTAGATCCCCTCTGGTTGAGATTAGCTATTAACACAACCATCATCGAGGATTTATGGTAGCCATTGGGATACATTTATATTTCAAAATCATTTGGAGGCATTTGAAGGTATAAAGTCCACTTCAGTTAAGATAAACATTCAACACGGCCAACATTGAGGATTTAAATAGCTTGTATAATTGTTATTTAAAACATGTCAATTATTTATGTTCATATGCTAATAGAAGATTGGGTTTAGTATCACTCTTATACTTTTAATAGTCAACCTTTCTTTTAATAGACCTTGAATGTCTAATATGAATATATAAAACTAAATACTACTACGACCATGTATTTGTTAGTATTTTAAGTCGTGTCAACTCGAGTCTAGTCAAACAGAAGGATTATACTTAAACTTAGGTTCTCTTTTAACCCGCGTAGCGATATCAAGCTTTATTTTTATCTATTTAGTACATTTTATCGGAGCATATGCAATTTTTTTTTTAAATTAATCTGTATGTTTCTTGAGGTGATGACTCGCTTTTAAAGGTGGTAGTGCTCTTTTTAGGGCAGTTGCTTGCTTCTCAAGGCTGCTGCACATATTTCAAAACTAGACCATCAGTTAAAATGGATCGAAGTGGCCAAAATTGGCTTTCTTTCTCTAGAATTCCTCTTCTCTCACAAGCACATAGTCTCTAAGGAGAAAATGAATTTATTTTTATGAAAATAGATTTTTATTTAAAATATGAGCACAACATTATGGCGCTTGATCTTACATGCCGTAATACTCCCTTAAGGAGTGCATATTGCTACCTTAAGGAGTACATAATGCCGTAAAGCCACCCCATCACTATTGTGTTGAATTAATTTGCAAAATTCTAGAGAGCTCAATGATGAGATGCTGCCTACCCTAATAATAAAACACCCTAGAGGAAAATTTTTGGGTTTTTTAAACATGTAAACAGACCCCTCAGACTTACTTCAGAACACATGCAGACTTTCATGTGTCTATAAATCATTTATAGACACATGTAGAAAAGTTTATATAAAAAAATTAAGTGGATTACTTTGAATCAGATCAAATTAGAATATGTAACTGATTCTGGAGGTAAAATAGTGGAATCAAAGGGGAAAATCATGGAAAAATGATTTATTAAGTTTTTAGATCAATATATGAAATTATCATAAGGTTTATACAATCTTTGATCCACGAAAAGATCAAGTAAATCCAACTAGGTCAGGAACTCTGCCACGCTTGGTCGACCACTTCTATGAGGGATTTAGAGGAGAAAAAAGGTAGGGAAAATTAGGAAAAAATTATTAAATCAACAAAAAAAAAAATTAAACATTCCACATAAAATTCACATAGGTTTGAGTCCTAATATACATCACAGATAAGAGACAAAGCTCACCAAAGTTAAGTGTAGGGGAATATAATCACCAAACCATGTCCATGGAGTAAGAAATCAAGCCTTGCCTTCTAATTCTATAAATTCTTCACATAATCAACTCATTTTTCATTTACAAAATAAGCCTTGAATATATATGCAAGATAAAATTCAAACTTGGGAGAAGAGGAGGGAAAGGAGGGGCTGATCAGTCCATATAACTACCCCATAACTTCTCCCTCTTTTTCCTTGGCCGGACACTCTACGGGGAGTAAACCACTATTCATATTTAAAAACTCACTTGACTGTCACTACACTTACTTACACTCACATAAAGACACTTTGGTGAACCAAAAGACACTATAGTGCACACTAGAGTCACTACAGTATAGTGACAACACATTATAATGAAATATCCAACACAAATGAAATAATATGAAATTCTCCTAGGTATTCTTCATTTGATTCTTATTAATGGGTCCTCATATTTTCTTTTTAGCTCTCTTAATTTACATCATGGTAGTTAGTCCAATCTTTGGTGTAGGTTATACACCATAAGCTTCTTGGATGCCTTTTCTGGGTATCATGAAATAAAAATGCACCCTAATGACATAAAAAATATCATCACGAGTAAAGGTTTATAGTGCTGCAAGGTGATGTCATTTAGTCTGAATAGAATTGTGGCAACTTATCAAAGAATATTTGATTGCATCTTCAAGAAGCAAAAATAGGCAAAGTGTATTTGGATTACCTATTGGTGAAAGCAAGTCGACTTAGAAGTATATTCAAGATTTAAAAAAGAGAAATACCATTTTAAAATGGTATAATATGCTTGTTAACAAATTAAAGTATACCTTGGTGGGATCTAGCAAATTCCTTGGGTCCTCCTCACACCTTAGGGAAGAAAAGGTTAATCTTGATAAATTAAAAGCAATCCTAGAGACATTGTTTCTTAGAACACCCAAGGAAAGCAACAACTCACTAAGTGAGTTATGGGACTCAATTACTTCAACACCAAGCTGGGTGAAAGGTGCTCACCCTTCTTCAAGGAGTTGAGAAATGCAAAAAGTTCATCTAAAGTGAGGAGTGTGAGGCTCCCTTCCAACAGCTCAAGCCCCTTCTCTCCATGCCATCTTAACTTCAAATCCTAAGAATGGGTAAGGATTGTTACTATACTTAGGCATATATGGGGACACAATAATCTTTATGCTCATTCGAGAAGAAAGAAATAAGCAATGATCAATTTATAATGTCAATATGATAATAAGAGTTGCTGAACATATATACCATATATATATATATATATATATATAATGTGAACATATCCTAAAAGAGTTTTCAAGTGAATTTATATTTATTTAAAATTTTGTAAATTCAATAGAATTAAAATATTGTTAAATTTGAATTTATTTTATCTTAATTTGATTAAATCTATTGAATCCTAAATCGTTCAAAACCGAGCGAACCCTAATCCGGGGTGTAACTTTGCTAAACCCTTTCCTCTCTCATACGGGAGCCCCATTTTCAGAACCTCTGCCAGGCCATCGTACTACGCCGCCACCTCTACTGCTCGCACGGGCATATCCCCTGTACTCACAAAGTTGAAACATTGCCCTTATCTGTTCGGAAGGGCTGACTTTAAGCTCGCATATCGTCCAACGAAATGCCTTATCGGCAGCGTCCATCGGAGTGCTCATGGTTCTCCATACGGAACTTCCCCAAAACCAGAAGGTTTGCAAGGTGAATCTGGCTACTTTTTAAAGCGGGTCTTCTCGATTGAAATTAAACTGTATTGATTGATAATGGTTATATAAACATTTTACCTTACAAGCCTTATCTAGTCTTAATTCTTCGCTCCCTTCATTGCGCTTTTTTCAAGGAGCCCTGTGATCACATGCGACTTATCTAATCCAATTCCATCCAGCTCAAGTAGCAGTTTGCATACCAAATAGCTATATATATTCCTCTTAGCTCCTAAGTATCATTATTTTTTTAGTTCTATATCTTAGACGCGACAGAATGGTGTGAAAGTACCGAACAAGTTTTCGATTAGCATTGCAGTTGATGCCACTGAGGTTGGTTTATTTGTAGATTAAATATATTAATATGATCCTCTAACCACATTGAGATGGTTCTGTGACCAGAGCTATTGTGAAGCATAGATTAAGCATTCAGCAGTATGCTAGGATATCAGATTGGTATTAAATTTGCTTATCACCGAAAGGATTGTGTGACACAATATACAGTGTTTAATGAAGTTCATCCATCCTCAGTTGAGGACAGTGTATTAACAGTCAAATTCTGAACTTCTCTAATTTTTGTTTACTGCCGGTTGATTGATAATGCTTATACGGCTGACACATCAGTTTTTTGTTTTGTTTTAGGAAAATGGGTTTTGAAAAAGATGATATCTACTTTTGGAAACAGATGGGGAAAGCAATGTTCTGCACTTATATGATATTTGGACTTGCCTGGTTGTGGAATGAAACATCTCCGCTTGGTTGGTGGACCTTTAGGTCGAGGCCCAAGGTGATGATGTTCCTTTTTTCCTATGTTGTTGCTATTATTACTATTGCGGTTGCTGAATTTTCTTCTCCTCCTTATTAACATCTGGTATCTGACCTATTATCTCCATTGAGAACGTATGAGAACCTGCCTTGAAAAAGCATAATTAAAATATTGCAAGTCAACTAATTTTAAAATACATGCTTACAAAAGTAAACACTTCTTACAACAACATCAAGCCTTTATCCCACTACGTTGGGGTCAGCAAATGTTTTAGTCATGGTTTAAAATTGTGCAAAAATAGTTGTGCCTCAGCGCAATTTCATCCTTTTAAGTCTCAAAGCCCACACAACGAGATCAAGAATTGAGGCGTACGCCTCAAGTTTTAGAGGCATCCGCCTCTAGAAATAGAAAAAAACTAACCTATTATTTATTATTTTTAGGTAGGGGTAGACCTAAAAAGACTTAGCTATTTAGAGGCATCCGCCTCTAGAAATAAAAATATTAGGAATGACCTTTCTTTATTAGATTTAAACGAGAATTTGACGTTTAATAGGACACAATGGAGAAAAAGGATTCATGTAGCCGACCCCACGTAGTGGGATAAAGGCTTGATGTTATTGTTGTTGTTTGTTGTATGTTCGGACCCCCCCCCGGGTCGGTCATTTCCCGAAAACAAACCGAGGGTTTTCTCCCTTCTTCTTCGAGCGACATTTTCCCTCTTCGTTTCTTTCAACCAGCGTCGGCCTCCTTCCACTGAGAGCTGCTCTTCGCCTCTTGCTTGGAGTTCTCTTCTACTGCGAGTTGGGCTGGAGTCTCCTTTGACCGACCGCTTTAAGCTTTTCTTCTTTGTGGTTGGAGCTTGGGGTTTATTGACAAAGGTGAAATAGTTTTATTTCCTCTTCTTCTTTGCACTCAAATGTGATTTTTTTGTTATACCATCGCATTTATCGACATATTCCTTTGGTTTTCATTCATTTTTGGCGAAATTTTTTTCTTTTAAATTTTATGCAATCTTGCTTTATTTTATAAATACACTTTTTATTGTCATTTGATTGAATGGTTGCCATTGATATTGCAAGAAAATTAAAATAATAGGACTTTTTTATTTATGTAGTATTTAGATATCTTTTTGTTAGACTTATGTTTATGTGGACATATGGTTTAGGCTTGTATAATAAAAAGTATAAGATGCTCAATAGATGTGTGTATAAATTAATATCGAAAATTTTAGTAGGAGAGGTGTACTACATGTAATATGAATCTAAGTTATGCACAAAAAATGTTTGATCTTCTATGATATAAAATTTTTTTGGATACGATTTAAAATTTACTTTGTAGGTCTTGACGGCTACGTCTTAAACTCTTAGGTTGTTTTTTTTATAGTGGCTTGATGTTTTGATCTTGGAATTATATATTAATGAAAAATACTGTGATTTGGGAAAGATAGAATTTGTGTTGAACTATATTTCATAGTCTTATTATTGGGATATTTTGATTTCACTTCATATCTTTTGCCTTTTAATGTTTTATATTATTTACTCATTAGTATATAAAAAAATTATCATTTTATGTTAACGCAATCTTTTGATTTTGAGGCTTATGCCTCAAAACGCCTTGAGGCTTACTCCTTGCCTCACGAACGAAAAAAGCCTCAATACCCGATTACGCAATTTTAAACATTGGTTTCAGTTACTCCTATGGGATAGATTATGAGAAGATATTTCTCATGGTTTCTAAGCTTAACTCCATTCATGTACTATTAGCCATTGCAACAAGCTTGTACTAGCCCCTACATCAATTTGATATTAAAAATGCTTTTCTCGATGATTATCTTAGAGAAGTATATATGAATTCTTTCCCTGGGTCTGAGAATCGAGGCAATGCACATTTCAGAAATTCTTATATGGTTTTAAACAATCACAACCACTGCATGCATGGTTTAACTTATTCTTAAGTATGTTTAAGATGCATAGATTCTTTTAATGTCAAATGATTACATTGTTCATAAAATATATTTTAAATTGCTAGATTGCTATACTGATTGTTTATGTTGGTAATATTATCATTGAAATGATGAGGAAAAAATAATTAAAAGAATCTTTTGCCAAAAGAGTTTAAGATTAATGACTTTGCTAAACTTCAATGTTTCCTTTGTATGAAAATTGCCTTATCAAGAGATCGCGTTTTTGTATCACAGAAAATGTACATTTTTAATATCTTTATTGTAATTGGGATGTTGGGATGTAAGTTAATAAACATTTATGAATCGAAATTTTAAGATGAGTGCTGAGGATGGAAGCACTATTGCAAAATGTATATGTAAAAACTTTGCGGAGAAACGCATATGACATAAACCATATTATATATTTGCTTCTCAGTTAGCATTGTCTGTAAATTCATGAATTATCCCACAAAAAAAACATATGTATGGGTTATTTTTCAGATCTTTCAGTATCTAAAAAGGAGTCTTACCAATTGACTATATTTTAGGTAAACTCTCAACAAATTGTGGAAGTGTTCATTGATGCTTATTGGACAAGTTCTATTATTGACAGAAGATCAACAATTGATATTGCATATATGTATGTCAAAACCTATGTTGCACTAGTATGGATACGACGATACATATATGACACGATACTTACATAGGGCACGTCAATTCTTAATTCTTAAAAATACAGGATACAGGTACAGCGTGGACACGTCATTATAATTTATGAATCATACATAAAAATTAAGAAAGCAATCAAAGCATAATATTTGAAATTACAAAAAAATGAAAGCAACATCATTTGTAGCTTATAATATCAAAATAAAGTAAGCATTAAATGTCTGGTACAACAAAAAAAGCAGAAACATAAATTGTTTAGCACGTGAAGTTTCAAATATTCAATAGAAGAAATGATATGAGTAGCTTCTTCAGTGGTTTGTCTTTGAACTTCTATATCATCTTTAATAAATATCATAGCTTCTAATTCAGGCTCATCAAGTGCAAGATTAGCAATTTTTAATATTCCCATATCATCAAGTGACTCAAATCCATCTCGGAAATGAGAGAACCTCTCTCACAGCCGTGGAAGTAAATACGACGAGTCTTTTTTTTTTTGGATTTTGTTTTTGCTTTTCAACGGACTCGCGTATCGGATACGCGTATCATTTTGAAATTAAATAATATTTTAATTGGATACGGCAAAGCCGTATCCAACACATATTGGTGCCGTATCGGAGGCTTATTCGTGTATCGGTGTATCATATACAACACGCCTTCATAAATAGGTATATCGGTGCAACATAGATCAAAACTTAGTCATATCGAGAAATAAGAAATAAGCTGTTCTGTCTTAAAGTAGAGCCAAAACGGAATTCGAGGCTATGTTACATGTGATATGTGACAGAATTTGGTTAGAGAGAATATACAAGAATTCCAAAGATTAACAACTAGCTCATGTTTCATAATAAAGATATCAATAACATTGCAGAGAACAGAGAACCCAACTCTTCATAATTGGACCAAGCATATATAGTGATAATTATTTTATTTAGGAAAAGATTGATGACTTCTATCCAACTTGTTTACACTCCTTGAAATCTCTAGGCAGCTTATATTCTCTCTAATGCCATACAGTAGCAATTTTGACAGTGTGAACTTGAACATGGGTATGCTTGATATCTAAGAGCTATTATACGTTGGTGATGTCTACAGACCTTAGCAATTCCACGGAGTTATAAAGTAAAGAAGTAATTCTTCAAGCTCAAAGATAAATAAATTTTAGGAGAGTGCCACTTCAAATTTCATGGAATCGAGCTTCACAACAGGTTTTTTTAAAACAATGTTATGCTATTCCAGCTTGCTCTTTCTTATGCAAAGAATGGTTTGAAACTTCCTTTGTTCAAATGATCATATCCTTATATGTGCTGTGAAATTTTAGTCACCACTTATCTAAAAATCTTTTAAGCATTTGAATCCTTACTTGCTTTGTGACATACCAATTATCTCTTACCATTTAATGTGTTCTCTCAATTATTTGAGCTGCCACACATGAGGTGTCTTCTATTTGTATCTTCATTACTTTGCTTTCTTTGGTCCTTTTGAGGTTCTCTAGAGCTAGAAGTAGTTGACTTAGGAGTATGAGTAAGACTGTATGAATGAGCTCCCCTTTCGATTTCTTGCAAAAGAGCTTGTTAACTTTTTTGCATAAAACCCATAGGAATAAGTTTTTTGAGGAAAAACAAAAAATAGTCCCTTGATCATTAGCAAGTGCGCAATCTAGTCCCAAAGTTTTGCATTGCCCCTATTTAGTCCATTGACTATTGAAAATTGATTCAATTTGATCTCATGACTTAAAATAAAAGTTAAATGTGAGTGTATTTTAGGCATTGCAATTATAGGTGAGATTATATTACTTGTTTATTTTATCATTTATTAAATTATAATATATAAAAAAATCAGAATGAAAGTTGAACTACTAAATAATAAGGGCGAATAATTAGTAAAAAAATATTATCCTTTAAGAAAAATCTAAATGAAAGATTATACAAAATTCCAAAACTCATAAAAAATACTATAATTGATTAAAAAATTCCAAAACCATTATTGCAAAAATGGTGTCATTGGCTACAAAGCTCCAAAATCCTTGTTGGACATTGTTGCATGTTGCTCGTCAAAGATTGTCATATGCTGCTTTAGTTGCCTATCTTAGTTAGAACTCTACAATCTTTCATTGTTTTATCTCGCTGTCGCACGGGATGGCTCTAGAATGGGATGAGCTACGATATTATAAAAAGGTAAATTTTAAATATTTTTACTAAAATGCTTAGGAGACGAAGGAATTTCTTGGCTTACAAAACTTTTTAATACTATTTTGAAGTCTAAAAAGATGCCAGATCACTGGAGAATGAGTGTGTTAATTCCTATTTTAAGAATAAGGGTGGTGCACAGGAGTGTGCGAATTATAGAGGAATTAAGTTAATGTGTCATACTTTAAAACTATGGGAGCGAGTTTTGGAGCGTAGGTTGCGAC